CAGCACCCAAGTGAGTGATTCATAAATTTTTTATATATTTTTTTTTTGGAAAACATTTGCAATTGCTCATAAATTGCAGACGCTTGGCCAGTTGGCTACTACCCATCGAACCTTTTCAGCCGGCATTATGGGCTTTTGTGTTCGCTTGCTTGTGCGTGGAAATTCTAGCTCTCCTCTTCATAGACCATCTTCGTCCGGTAATTTACTCACTGAGCGAACGTTTGCCCTCAACAACGAAGACAAGTTGGTGGCATAATTTTGAGTATGCCTTCTCGACAACATTTCTGCTGTTTGTTTCGCAATCGAGTAAGGGCATCATGGTTGGTTTTACGCCACTGCGGATAATGCTGTTTGCATGTTTCCTGAATGACATTGTCATAACGAGCATTTATGGCGGTGGACTCTCCAGTATACTCACGGTGCCTAGGTAAGGTTATGGAGTTAAATATGTACGTAAAAATTTCAAGAGCTTTACAAGTAAAATCAAGTTTTTCTAAGCTTCGGACAGGCAGCAGACTCCGTGGAACGCCTTTATGCTTTCCAGCTCAAGTGGGCCGGTGATTCCGAGGCATGGGTGGCAGCTATTAGGGATGATGACAGCGTAAGGTCGCGTTGATCGCTAAGCGGATCAGTATTTTATGATATAAATATAAGTATTGCAAGGCATTGACTTTTTTATTTTTTTATGAATTTTGAATTTGCAGGAAATCATACAGGGCTTGTTGCGCAATTACGCCATACACAGCGAAGAAGAGCTGATAAAGTTGGCCGAAACCGGTGGAATGGGCTTCACTATTGAACGTTTACCTTTTGGTAAATTTTGTGTTTGAGTAAATATTTCATAATTATATAATGCGTAGCAATCCTTTGCTAGGACACTTCGCCGTGCAGGATCATTTGACTAGCAGCGTCTTAGATAGAATGAAAATTATGGTGGAAGATATCTACTTCCAGTACACAGTCGCATTCACCTCACGTATGTGGCCAATGTTGGAACGCTTCAACGAAATGGTTTACATGTGGCACTCATCTGGCTTCGATAAGTTTTGGGAGTGGCGCATTGTTGCTGACTATTTGGATGGCAATATACAGAAGATACTACTGGCCTCACAGTATGCCAACTTGGAAGATATTGGACCGGTTAAGTTGGGCATGTCGAATTTTGTGGGCATGTTGTTGTTATGGTTGTTGGGTATAGTCTTTGCAACGTTGGCTTTCATGGGAGAATTGTTATTTGCACGTATGAAACGGTCTAAGGAATCAGCTAAGAATGGAGTTGGTGAGCAGAGTAATGGAGAATTGTATTGAAAACAAAATTGAGATATTAATATGTAGTATGGCTTAGTAGTACTTAAAGGCACTCTAAATGTAGTATTTAAAATCACAGCTAAATAAAGTACATAAAGGATATTCGCTTTAGCCGGTAAAAGGAGACTATGCAGAGAAATAAATTTTGATGCAAATTTTTTGGTATTAATTGATTTTTTCCGAGTTCTATGTGAAATTGACAAAATTGATTCTACTGGTTTTTGCTGTTGAATGGACAATATTAAAAGAAAAAATTGATATGGAAAATAATAAATAAAAAAGGGTATTCATATTTTTAACGCAGACATATTTCTTGCATTTCATTAAAACAACTTATATTATAAGTTTCCCTTTATATTTCTATTGAAAGGGCATCTAAACTACACCTATGGATAGTTAATCTTTAAAATATTGTTTGGGAAACCAATGAAATATTGCTTTAAAGGGAAAATGGGCTATCTAGAGATAAGTTCTTTTAGTAAAATGCCACAGATTATTATAACTAGAAGTCCATAGTATCATAAAGATAATAAAATTAGCTTACAATATCACTGTCACCGAAAAGTAGATACGATAAGTGATGCATATTTGTTAAAAGCAGGAAAGCAAGACACATTAATTTTGTTGCCCAATCATCACATTTTACTTTCTGGAGCTAAGTCCGTAACGTTAATTCCATTCTGATAGTTATTTTGTTTTAAGACATTTGTCTCTTTCTCGATTGCGACTCATGCTCTTCAAAGAAAGTTCTTCAGACACACATTTATAGTGAAATATACTAGCAAATTGATTTATGTGCCTAAAAAGCGAAAGTGAAATTACTCAGCGAAGCTAAATACGAATTGCAGTTATTGCATACATACATACATACGTTTACCGAAAGTATGAAATTTCGTATAATTAAAAATTAGTTCAATTAGAATTGAATGCAAGTATTTCATAATTATTTTAAAAGTTAAGTAATACTAATGAAAGTTGCCGCTATCAAAGGGAGAAAGCCAAGCTGAAATCAGAGTCTTAGGTTGTCTTAAAGTGAGATTGAAATTAGTCACACAATGGCTGACTTTTTACTCCAACCAATTTAGTCTTCGTGAAAACCAATATATTCCAAAAGTTTTCACTTTTTACAAAACGCTTTTCTAGAACAGATTTTGAGAAGTGATAGAGAGAGTGATGAGGTGCAGGTAGAGAAAAGCTTACGCTGTTCCACATAAAGTAAAAAAAACAGCTTGTACTTATTTAAATGAATAGAATGCATAGAAGAAATCGTCAAATTTCTAGTCTTATTAGAAGCAGAGGATTCAGGCTTTAACAAAGTGTCGACTTCCACACTATTTCCTAATGACAACAACATTTTTTAAAGGCTTTTTTTTTCTCTGCTGAAAATTACCCATTTTCCCATTCGATAGTTCGACTGGTTGATTCGTTTAAATGAGAACTTTCTGGCACTCTCTGTGCAAAATTAAGTCTCCATCCTCGATCCTTTCTTAACTCATCATCTTATATACGTACATATATGTACGTAGATTAAAATGTTGAGAAAGTAAAACTGATAAATTATCATCAAAAGCTTCTCGTCGTCTATTAAGACAGGCGGATTTTCTTTGAAAAAGAAACTTAAAGAAAGGATTGGTTGGTTGGTTAAGAGGAGTAGTTTGTCAAGCTGTTGACAAGGAATTACCAAATTTTATCCATTTTGAAGCCACACCCTTATAGTTATGTAACCGGTTAATAAAGCTTCTAATGCTATGACACAGCCATATCTCTTCATGATTTTATGGCAAAAGCTTTCGAGTATAAAAAAAATTATTGCTCTAAACAAATTCAACGTAACCTTAAACATAACATTATTTGATAACTTTCTATGCTGTAATTTTGACATTGTACGAGTATGTTGTAATAATCATTATGTGATGAAGATTACGAACAAAAATTATTTTAATTAATTAAATAAAAAAGACAATTATTTGCAGAATTGAAAGTGAAACTTAAACACAAAAATGGCAAGCAAGCAGCGACTCTCGAAAACGTCAGCCATCAAAAACGTCACAAACGTTTTTGTAATACTCGTACATATATACAGGTAAATATAACCCTCGGCAATTCGACACAAAGACAGACCGCCTATCCTGGCTTGTTGTTGTTAGCAATAAAAAGCGAATGACTGACGGTACACGCTACAAAGACGAACAATAAGAAATTTCTTTTTCTTACTTAAATAATTTCATATCATTATTATTGGATGGCATTTGTTTGTTTGTTGTTGTTGTTGTCGAAATTATTACAACAACAATTTTAATTCGAACGTTGTAGCTAAAGCTAAGCACAATTCGCTCAAGTGACTAACTAACCAACAAACTAAATAGTCAGCGAGTAATTAAAAATTCAATGAGTGCATAATTGGCAGCAAAAGCGACGGAGTAATTCAGTATGACCGAATGAATGCATAACGAAAGTGTCATTGCAGTGAGGTAAATATCCATACATACATACATATAAGTATGTACATTAGACTGCATCACCAAAAAAGAAAATGCGGACGTCCACCAAAATATTTCGGAAAAATATTAAGATTTACGTGAGCTGGACCGATTTGAAAATGGAGTTTTTTATGAGCAAAAATCTTTTCTAAATCGGAATAGTTTAGGTTCAGTTATTCAAGTTTTTCTTATACCAATCTACAGCATCAAAAATCCCATTATTACAATTCCGTTTACACCGTTTTGCCATTTAGGGTGTTTTTTTTAATCTTTAAGAAATTATTTTGATTCATAAAAACTCCATTATTAGAGGTATTTTCAAAACGGTACAGCTCACGTAAGTTTTAATATTTTTCCGAAATATTTTGGTGAAAGTCTTAAAATATAACAGATTTTATAATTCCAATGGAAACAAGTACCAAGTACAAGTACAAGACCTCAAGTACTCCGTTCTAGTACTTACCCACCAGATCTCAGTTCTTATCACCCTCAAGTACCAGCCTAATGTCACTAAACTAAACTCGCCAAAAATCATTGAACCTTTGCTATGAAAGTATTTCGATTGTTCCAGTAGAACTACATATTTAAAAAAAATTTATTTAATTTCACTTTTATTTTTTGATATGATCTGGTGTACAAATACTAAAAAGAACGGACAATTTGAGGTTAATGAACTTTGGAAAAAAATGTCTTCTCGAGATAAAAGCATGTCGAAGATACGTGAAAAGTGTAAAAAGGCGACCGACCTTCGGTTAAGTAATTTTTTTTTCGAAATTTCTTTGAAAAATAGCTTAGCTTAAGTGGTGTACGGCGTACATTTTTTTTGTTTGCTTGTAAGGTGGTACGGTCTAATGTACATATGTATGTATGTGTTTTTGTTATCATTTGTCTGCGCATGCGTGCAATGCGATTCATATTTAGTTTGCAGAAGCCCATAAAAAGGAGCCGGCGATGTATTTGGCATGCAAACAATTCATAATTCATGCACTCAATACAAGTATGTATTATGCAAAAATATATGCATAGGTACTATAACTCAAATAAATGAATATGCATGTTAACGCATATTTTTGACTGTTGAAGGAATGCCACACCATAGTCTTTGGCAAGCAAAAACATTTTGCTTGAAGCTCCATTCGTATTCTTTTTTTATTATTTTTTTCTTGTGACAGCGACAAACGCTACCGTAACGCAATGAAAGTGCTTCCTTTTTGGTAGTCGCTATTTTTGTCTAAAGCAAAAGCAAAACCTTAACTAGCTTACGTGTAGACGAGTTTAGAGGCTTACTATGCATATTAACCTTTCAATCATGTGCCAACTGCTGGCCAAAAGCTCATTAGCCGGAGGTCCGCTGGACGTTGTCCGTTCTGCTGTTTATGCTTTCGTGTACAAAAATTTCACCGTAATTGCTAAAGAGTTTTTTGAATTATTTTCTCTTACTTTTTCTTAATTTTTTTGGTTAGTTTTTTTCTTTTTTGCTTTTTCGCACCTCACAAATGACCATGACCCACTAAAAGAAAGCTTGACTGAGCAGACATTGGTGATGACTATCAGTGCGGCTGGCTATGCAAACGCATACATATGTACATATTGTTATTGGCCCTTGGATAGTAGGTACACTAATGAGCACCAAATGTGGTTAAGTGCTACTTACAAAATAAAAAATTGTTATCGATAATTTTCCTGCAAAACATGCAAATAGTCCAGAATAACTCCGAGAACAGTTGAGAAGGCACATTCCCCAGTTTCCCGCTTCTATTTTTTTTTTCGAAATGGTCCTGTGGAGAGACTAACGGGTGATTTTTTAAGAGCTTGATACCTTTTTTTTT